TCCGTTACTGCGGTCGATCAATACCTGTCCGTATCCAAACACACGAACATCATCCGTGGCTGGAGCCTAGAAACGCCGAGAGCGTTGCATTGGGTGTATAATCAGCGTGACCGGTTCAATCTGTCCTGCCTTGGTCTTGTCTTGGAAGTGCGGCCGTTGGAATCCTCCGTGATAGCGACGGTTTTCTATATTTAGGGTGTTAGACGAGGGTTTTTGATCCGGTTGGCCGGGTTTTCCCTCGAGCCTGTTGTTGTTTTGAGTCCCTTTGGTAGATCAGGGGTATCCATGCCCCACGTTAGGTTTGCCATTCGCGTGCAAACCGGGGAGGGGGTTCGTTTGTTCGGATACGGACTGGTTAGATCTACCGGCAACAACAGAGGGCACGCAGATGGGGCATATGTACACCTTGAAATGGTTGCATGTACGGGGACCCCTCGAACTCCAAAGAGGGCTTCACTTCTCCCTACTCCCCTTGCGTGTCTAATACAAGAGATAAAACGTCTTCCCCTTCCGAGTAAAGGATATATACGAACAGACTGTGCATCCTGTTGTAGTTTGAACGAGGCTTCGATTTGATGGCGGGCAGGCAACGTTTAGGCACAGATTCGTCGAGATCGGAGCAATTTGGTGCCGAAGCAACTGCTGCATGCTCGTGTTTCGTGCTTGAGACGGCCGATCACCGACACAGCTAAACGTTAACGCAGGAGGCGCCAATCAACCTGAAACTTGCTGAGGGCTTCCCAAGTAGTGCAGGACGGCCGATGGTCTGATTCCTTGCGCCTCGAGCATTCGGGTCAAAAAAGCGCGTGGTTCGGAGCTTGAACGGCGACAGACAGACGCTTTTTTTTTACCGTTTTGTGAAACCTCTAGAGACCGTATCGGTTTCCTAGAGGAACATTCGATAACCGGGCACACGACAGGCGCTACGCGCAGGCCATGCTGCGAGGGCCACACTCCCCAAACAGCCTACCGAACACACATATACACCAACCAACACCGACAATGAAGACGTCAAAACACAATCCGACGGTAACGATTGCCAAAAACACACGACAATCACAAACGAAAATTATCACAAATTTTGGATGCAATTGCTGCTTTTCGCCACAACACAAATGCAACAAGAGACCATAAATTGGCCTAGACTTCCAAATTGTACCCACATTGACATGCTTTTGACGCTTTCGCGGTTGGTAACTGCCCTACGGCCTGCCTCTCTAACCGGAGAGCCCCGCTGCAAGAGTGTGATCCTACAGAAATACCCGTACTCCGTACCTTTTTTTTTTTTTGGCGGCAACCATAATGGTGGTCGAGTAGATCATGTTGTGCGGGGTGGAGAACTCTCACTCCGCGCAAGGAGGATGATCGCACCACGTTGTGTTAAAATGGTCAACCACCCTATAGGCAGTTACACAGCGCTTACAACTGTCTCTGGAAGTGAAGCACCAGAAAATAAATTAAGTCATACGCAGCTGTGATCCGTATGCCAGGATGTAAGCACAAGATGCTGAACACCCTTAGCAGGATGCAGCGCAACCTTCATACGACTCGCCGAATACCTTACGGCGCTTCGCGCTTGGTGATGTGAGAGCCTGGTCCGGTGAGAACCCGGCGTNCCCCCCCCCCCCCCCCCTTACCCGTACCCCATTGTGGACGAGTTCCATCATAGAGCCTGCATGCGGCGCGATAGACTACCAAATATTTACCCGCCGCCCGGTTGGCAGCACAAGCACGCAAAGAGCAAATCTCAGCACATGCATCAAGAACAGAGTTAATTTAGTTCGGCGGTCGCCCTTCGGCCATTTTGTCATCTCCATTCCATCACAAACTCGCCTCTCTTATTCATCTCCTACGCGACCACCATTTTCTCATATCGCCATCACATCAGTAAACTTGTCACTCCGTCACCGAAGCGAAAACCAAGTTCTTGGCATCTTAACACTCCATGCCACAATTTGTCTTGTTTCCCTGGCGCTTTTGATCACGTGCGCACCGCCGCGGGGCTGCCGACCCTGACGCCATGAAGAAATCGACGACCACATTCTCGGCGACCTTGAACCCCTCAAACCGTTGCAGACGTGACCGGGATGCTAGACCGCACCGCGAGCACAGCCGGCGCGGGCTCCGAACACACCAGCCCCGCCGCAACGTCCCCGACGATGTCCCACAGGGCGCTGTCGATCACCCCTTTCACCGCTGACGCCAAGCCGTTCTTCCTCGAGTGGGAGCCCGGCCGGCTCCCTCCGAGGCTGGCGTTGCTGGCGGTGGCGGCGGCGGCGGCGGCGGCGGCCTCGCGAGCGCGGTGGCTCCCGCGCGCGTGGTGCAGCGATTTCCCGTGCCAGCTGCGCGTCATGAGCGAGCCGGGTCCGTGCCTGCTTCCCAGCGATGGCCTCTTCCCGTGCACCGACCTCGTCCCGGCAAGCGGCACGTCGCTGCTCCCAGCACCGGCGCCCGCCGCCCCTCTCCCCCCCCCTTGCTGCTGCCCGGGTGTCGTCGCCAGCGGCGGCAGCCCGGACCCGGCGCAGCCGCAGAGCACGAGCCCGATGGACTGCGCGGTGGCCACCTGGAGGACGATCGAGGGTGCCCCCGACTTCACCGTCGACGAAGACGTCGACATCGCGCAGAGCGCCGCGGTCAGGGACCACGCCCGCGTAACGCGAACCTGGGGGAGTCCCTCCGCTCTCGCCAGGAGCTCGCGGGCCGACCATGAGCTGCGAGTGTCGGACCCGACTGCCCCGGCGGAAGCAGCAGCAGCAGCAGTAGTAGCTGCCCAGTCGCTACCGTTGCCCCCGACCGTGGGGGTGGCAGCGGCGGCGGCCGCGGTCGGAGCTGGGGTACCGGGATTCGACCCCGGTTGCACGGTCACGGCGCTGCCCGCTTCCAGGTCGGTGTCTCCCGGGGGTCCTTGTTCGAACATGGACATGATGGATCCGTTCTGTGGTGCGAACAAGCAGCAGCAGCAGCGGCAGCGGCAGCAACTCAATCAGTGTGTATGTGAACGTGTTCCGGCCAAGCTGGTGGTATGAGCTGGTGAACACATTGGGCACAATGATGTTCCGATTTTTTCCTTGTTCTGTTCTAACTTGCCCACAATACTCTTCCCCGCCAAAGAAATGTGGAGACCACCCCACGGACCTTGTCACAACTGCATATTCCGTCGTTCCACTTTGCGAGGAAACGCCAGAGCACAATTGAGGGACTGAGTCCAACAACAGAGTTCCACACAACTCGTAAACCATTGTGTCTGCCCGGCGAGCGGAGGTTGGCAAACGCCCGCCATCCCAACAGGTTGAGCATGTCGGGACCAGCGGCTGGGATTATTTCTCGTGACGATCGCGAATCGTAACAAAATGTGTGCGCGACATGCTTCCAGGAGATGGACCAACCTAGAACGCACCGTCCATCAAGGCCGAACATCAATACGATACACACTACAGCAACAACACCACCCCCTTCCGCCCGTGGTCTGGTGAGAACCCGGCGTGCTCCGTCCCGGCGTTGCACGGATGCCATGGTCTGCGGCATGCACGGCTATGAGTGCGCCCCCCCGGCCCGTTGGTCTGACTCGAAAAACTGACCTCTTGCCGTGCACTGTCCGCCGCCCGCGGCCCCGTCGCCGAGTCCTCGGGCTCGAGGAAAGATAGAACGACCACTTCCGCCGACGTGTCCCGAGCAACGATGGCGAGGGCGAGAAGGAGGGCGGCGACATCGTCGTCGCTGCCGAAGAACGGCACCATCAAGCTCAGGCCGCCTGACGCCAACACGGTGTGGCAGTTGAACGCTAGTACGAACTGTTTCGTCGCGGCGGCAGCGGCGGCAGCGGGGGCGGCGGTAGGTGCGGCAGCAGGGTAGAGAGAACCGAAGAGCGTGGAGGGTGCCGTTGGGGAGGTGGATGGAGGGTGTTCGGCAGCTGGAAAATCAAAATTCGCGAATGACAAAAAAAACTCATCCCAGATAAATTACAGTTCCACATCGCCATGTCAAAGTCCATGAAAGGTGCACACACTTGTCGTACAATTAAAGCGACCCACACCATTCTCAATGAAGGCCACACGAAACCGGAAACATCCCGCGCCCGGACGGACGTCAAACACACAACACACCTGCGGGTGAGTGGTTTCCATGAGCTTCTCCACCCTCGCGAGCTGCGCGCTCGGGTGCGTCGTCCCGGCGTCCCAGGGAAAGACGACCGTCGAGATGCCGTGCTCGTCCGTCAGGCGGGCCACGTCCTGGCAGAAGTCGGTCGGGGTGCCCACCGAGATGTGCGACTTGACCCTGATCATGAGCAACCCGAGGAATCCCTGGAGGATGCCGGCGAGGCCGTCCTTGTTCAGGGTCTCGCCTGTTGCCGGCGGGAAGAATCCGCGTCATTTGTTTGGTTCCGGGGATTGGCAAAACAGCAGGACCGAGGATGGGAAGGAAGGGGCCCAACATGGGAGGGGTAGAAACGAAGAGAGAAGGGAATAAAAGGGTCAAGAGGTCAATGGTGTACACCAAGTCGCAACAAGGCCGCGCGGGTCTCCAACAAACAAAAATATCAGAAAACGATCCCGTTCCTCGCCAAACTGACCACCCACGAGTAAGACGGCCTGCACAAGATAGGGGGTGAGTGCCTGCGTGTTCGCGTCGAGCTCATCGACAGAGCAAAAGCGGTATCTGTAGCACGCACCCTTCTCCAGCGCTCGCATGTCGCTCGAGAAGCGGTCGGTGTTCTCAACAAGCCGGAGCGCGTGCACGACCGGTCCGTCCTCTCTGTCCGCACGTGTGCCGCTTCCTTTCCGACGAGGGGATGTTCCGGCAGCATTCTTGTCTGCCGGCTGGTTCCCGCTGAATAACCTCGCTATCTGCACATCAGCAGCAGCACAAGCAAATATCCGGGCCGGACGGGCGAGTGCCGGCACACCAGAAGACTACCGATGGTAAAGAGCATCCTCTCGGTTTCGATTTCAATGTAACAAAAGCTTTCCCATCCACGGCAGTCCTGTCGTGGCGGTTACCACACGAGCAACCCCCCCCCCCAGACGACAAAATGAACCATGAATGGCCTGTTCCAATCTAGTCAGCACCATTATGAGGTGAGTGGTGCCGAAGCCGTACTGTTCAGCCTTGGCTGCCTTGCTGTTGTAGCCGTGCGGATTGCTACTCTACGGAAAATACCCCAATATGCGAGCCCTAGCGCTTGCTTCCTTCAAGCGTCGCACCGCGAAGCCCTCCGCGACCGCCGTCATGGGAAAGTTTTCGTAATAAAAAACAAGGCTATGGCGAAGCGGCACGGACGGGTTCGAGCATGTTACCTCGGAGCGAACACAACTCTTCGGCAACACTTCAGGCCACTACAGAGGAGGTGGTACAGAGCACAACGGTAGTTTGTTGACGAACAACCTCGACGCCGGTGTGCTGTATCTAATAGCAAAACGGAGATCCGGTCGATGCAGACACACTTATACAGAAAAATTCCCTGCTGTACGTCTAGACTGCCCACGACAATAATAGCAAAAAATGCGACCAAGGCCCATGGCAAACCCCAACATGTATGTTGCCCCCCTCCCGCTCACCCTCGCGACCGCGTCGAGGGCAGCGGGGTTCGCGACGAGAACCATGAGCGTGAGCCGCTCTTGGGCGAACTCGCCGAGGTCCGGGATGGAGGAGAGCGTGCGAGAGAGGCTGTTCTTGGTGGCTCCGGACTCCTCGGACGCCCGGCGGCGGCGGTTACGGTCGGGCACGGTGTGGTACCTGAGGTAGCGGCAGCAGCAGCAGCAGCAGCAGCAGAAGCGCGGGTAGAGGACATGAACATGGCAGAACAATTTGTGCTGACAGGAGTCTTCGTGGGACAGCATATAGTTTCATGACGTTAAAAACAGCTGTGGTCCGCTCGTTCTTGACCGACGTCAGCCCTGTTGAATCATCCGTACATCTAAAGACCACGAGGTAGGCGATAATCCCTACCTTCGACAGTCAAATACAACACTCGCCCCGCCGGTGCACCCAAGCCCTCAAATGCTTGTTGCGACAAATCGCGTTGAGGCAATACTCACTTGAGGGGATAGACGAAAGACGACAGGGGTGCCGTCAAAAAGGTAGTGACCAAGGCCATAACCACCATGATCGCCATCACCTCCTGCGATAACCCCCCAGCCAATCCCAGCGGGTAAATATATTTACACGCGTGGAAAAAGTGTGCACGTCACACAGTAGCAGTTGCGCCGGTCGTGCCCGCAGAGCCAGGGATACCACACGTACGCCGTTGTGAGTAGATCCGGTCGAGGAGACGTTGCACCTCAAACGTACCGAGGGGGGTACGGGGGGCAAACGGTGCAAAGAGATGCGGTGGGAGGGGGGTCGACAGGGTTGGGTACACATGTCAAAGAAGAGAGGGCGACAGCGCTCGGGATATTGAACCCATTCCCAAGGCGAATAACCCGAACCACTGGCACGGTTCGTCCCTCAAAGTGATGTCATGCTCGTGACCGCTAGCCAACCAAACCATCCACGATACCGAGTGAAGAATAGAGCGAAAACAACTAGCATGCAATCATTCCCTGGCAGGAGAGTACTGCTCACGTTGACCAACAATCAAACAACAAGCCAAGGTCAACCGCCGTGCACAATACGGTCTGGGGAGGTATTCCGTTCTACGAAATCAAGGACTATCCACCGTCGTTTGCTGCTGAAGAGTTATACTTCCAGCAGGCAGCTAGCACGCTTTGCCGTCCCGTCCCACCCTCTTGCGCCCCCCAGCACCTCACACAAATTTGCTTTTTGTCTAATCAAGCGGAAGCCTTCCAAGCTACACTTTTGTGACACCTCGTTGCATAAGTCGTTTTTCGTGCGTTCCACAATGCACGCGACCGACCGAAAATGCTTGGATGGGTTCATAAAGCTTACGGTGCACCACACAGACTATGCCCGAATGGGTTTATCACCACAACAAAACAGAACGTGATGTGTGTGTCTGTGAAAGGATTTGTAGAGATATTCATTATTGGCATTCGCGTTCAGCGTATTGGGGCATATTTCGGAATCTTGTCCCCGTTCCAGCGACCTTGGTATTCCCCGCTGGCACTGTCCTTTTTTGATCGGTCAGCCGGTTACCTCGGTGAGTACTCCTGCGTCGAGGCCGATGTTGAGGATGATGAGCTCCACAAGCCCCCTCGTGTTCATCAGAACGCCAACGGCCAGTGACTCGCGCGGAGTCATCCCGAAAAATCTCGCCACGGCGGAGCCGCTACCGATCTTCCCTGTTTTGATGGGACGGTGTGTATGTGGCAGGCGGGGCGTCAAAAGTTGTGGACAGGGGGATTGGGGCACGAATATACCCTCATTTCAGGTAAAAATCAAACCTTTCTCGAGGAAAAACACCTGCTGTATGTTGTCACGGTGATTAATCTGGGCTGTTCCGAAAAGAAGGAACGAACCTTTGGCCTATTATTCTCCCCACGAAGCTACAGAAAAAACGATCGGCGAATAATGCTGTACTGCTGCAGTGGGACTGGCGGGATGTTCCGCTGACAGGTTCAGACAGGGGGCTTTCTGTTGTCAAACGACTGAGCTGGTGGGCGATAAGACGACCCCGCCAACGCGGTGCCGAGAACAAAATCAAGGAGGAACGAATGGTTTAAAGGGACCGTAGCTTTTGACCCCTCAACCGCCAACTTTGTGTTGTCGTTGCTTACTGACATTCAACTTCTTGGCGACGTGTCGTTGAAGATGGAGGAGACGCCAACGCAAGGAAAAGCGATGAGAGACACAGCAGCCACCATAAAAAATATCAAGGGCCGCCGCCCACGTGCGGCAGGCAACGAGACGCGGTTTGATGTTTTGAAGTCCCCTACGGCAGGTAGATGCAGCACGGGCCCCCTTTTCCCCCTTTTTCCCCTTTTTCGGCTTGATCACGAAGTAATCGAGGAGGTTACACAAACATGAGAATCCCAGTGAAGGTGATGAAACAGCTACCTGGGCCTTCGACCCAACAAAGCGTATGGACCTCTGCAACCGACCGATGCCCGGCCTAGCCGAGCGGGAACAAGCATTACGTAGTTGATCGGGGTAGGAAAGAAAAACCGTTTCAAGCTCCACTTACCCAAGCAGGCGGCGGAAATGGTGAGCGCGCAGATGCCCCACGAGGTGGCGCTGTCCAGGAGAGTGAGGTCCGTCTTAAGGCCGGACACGGCGAAGTAGAGCGGCAGCAGCAGCACCGACACCACGTCCTGCACCAGTTCGACGATGCGGACGTGCAGGCTGTTCGCAACACGTGGCGAAGCCAAAAGGCGGAAAAGAAGGAAGAGAACGGGAACACACCCGCGGGACACAGAGAGTGTCAGGGCCAGCGTGCGACGATGAACCTCGTGGAGATCGAAATACCACAATCAAGAGAATTAACACCACCATGCTCACCACCAAAACAACAACATCAGAGCGCGGTTTCCACCCAAGCTTTCAATCAACAGAAATCAGGACAAAAACAAAGGTGCATCATTAGCAACACAAGACGAGGACAGAACGACAACAGAGATTTGACGGCATGGAGCATCGTCTTCCGCGGCATTGCTTCATCAGCGAAGCCCCCCTTCTCTCTACAGTGCGCCTGGCGGCTCACATCCAGCGCGAGTGTTTCAGTTCGTCATTACTTCGCCTAAAGTACACCACCAGCACCAGTGCTCTCAACTCCGCATCACCAATCTCAGGACGAGACCAGCCGGTGAAGCAGGACGCACTTGTGCTACTACCCCGACCTGCCCAACTCCTCTCGTACCGTCGACGAGCCACTTTGCTTGACCCCAACAGTACGCACGTGTGTTTTCTGCGAAGAATCTGGCCCTTAGCTGCGACGGTCATTCTCTTGCACATCGTCTTGCCGCTAAGGCGATAGGATCACGAACACCCATGTGGCACCACATGCCGCTGTCCCGCTTCGAATGGCACTGCATGCCGTGCTCTACGCCGCCGTCCGTGCTGCAAAAGCGTCGCGGATGTCGGCGGAATCTACAGCCTCTTGCGAGACGAGATTGTACCGCGCACAATTGCCTAGTTTGTCCTTGCGATCTGCTTACATCTGCTCTGTACTCTCAACAACATCGTTTCTTCCTGTGGAATGTGCTGACAAAATATGAATGACCTTTTTTCCCTTCTGTCGAGTGTTTTGCCAGAGAGTTTCTTGTTTCCTCTGCTAGATTCAGGTTCTTCAAGTCAACACATCACCTTACTTTATTGGCAAGGAGACCAGTGAACTTGTCTGTCACGGCGAAACAGTAGCAGTCACCTGTGCTCCCTCGGCACGATGATGCCCGCAACAAAGGCCCCGAAAATGGCGTCGATGCCGATGAAGTCGGTCACCCAGGCCGCCACAAGGGTCAGCAGCAGACAGAGGATCATCACGCCGCGGGAGGGTGCGCCCGTGTCCTCGCCAGACACTCGCCGCACCACTACCAGCAGCGCCTTCTTCACGACTAGCCGGGGATGAGGAAGATGAAGCACAACAGATGGAGAGAAAGAGAGAGAGAGACAGAGAGAGACAGACAGACAGACAGACAGACAGACAGACAGATAGACAGACAGAGGAACAACCGGAAGGCCGGCAAAGTGTCGTCGTTGTCGGCGGTGGTGGCAAAAAGGTTCCGAGATGGGGAAAATAACGCGAGGGGGGAGTGCCGTGAATCGACAGACACTACAAGCAGTTCGCGAGGGACACAAAACTTCGTTTCGCCGCAGGGTACAGTATCGTTCCTTCCTGCACGTGTTCGTTCTGAAACCAGGATCTCTAGAATGCAAGGGACTCAATACATTTCCTCCCACCCTCTGGCCCCTCCCCCGCGCCCTCCGACGCCGCTGAACCCGCTCTTCATCCCATCTGCTACTGCTGCCGCGAAATACTAATGCTACACCTAAACCCCACCGGTCAGTATCAGCCACCGCAAAAAGCCACTGGCGGGACAAAAACTGCCTGGGGTACATGTACATATTGTGTATCCTCCTCTGCAGACATGTAACCGGCACGCGCATCTGCACGACACATCCCTGTGCTTCCATCCCACTGCCCACGGCTGTTTAACCGCCCCGGTCGCGGAAAAAAGCACTCACTCACCGGTCAGCATGACCGCCACGAAGAACGCCAGGAGGAGGAACACGTAAAAGGCATCGAGGGGGCTCCCGGCGTTGACCGTGGACACCACGAGGGCCAAGAGGCACCACACGCAGGCCTCGTCGACAGAGGCGGCTGAGATGACCAGGGCCCCGACGGTTGTGTTGAGGAGGGAGTTCTCGCCCAGGATGCGGGACAACACGGGGAACGCCTGAACACACGCGGACACAGAAGCCCAGATCATGGCCAAACAAACATGTTCTTCTTTCAGCCGCACTGAGACTGATGTCTTTTCATTGGTCAGCTGGTTAAACAATACAAATCGATCGGGCGAGGAAAAGCGCAACGAGATACAGGGCCGAGAGAGACACGTCCATTGATGGGAAAAGATGCAGTGAAAGGAGGCGCGCCCAGGCGGGGTGGGAGAGAAGCTCCGAGATGAAGGGGGGGACACAAGTGCAGCAAGAGGAGAGAAGGAGGGTTTTTACATTGAAAGCTTGCGTGGGGGGGGAGGAAACCCATCACGTCGCGGTGGGAAACCGGCTTGCAGACCCACTTTCGACCCAAGGGGTGTGTCTTCGCGGTGTCTAGAAGCAACAGCAGAGTACTCCCCCTGATTGAAGGAGCTGTGCATCCTTTCGTCACTTCAAGCAGTCGAGCTGGGGCTCAAGTTGGCGTACATGGCAGCAAGATGTCGTCGCATCGAAGGGTTGTCACGCGAGGAGTTGCATAGAAAACGCATGGCATCTGGTCGGGTGTTGCTACTCTACTCACCGTGACGGAGAGAGAGACGCCAATGAAGAGCACGAACGACGTGGTGGCCTCGACGTCGTCCATCCTGATTGGTCGGCCAAATCCAAGGAGGCAGGGCGGGTGTTCAATACCAAATTTCCCCGATTGCGTGCCTTATCCAAGCTGTACAGTTAATCGAAAAACTTTGTCAAGGCTACTGTCAGAGCGCGGTTGGAACACGGCGCTAGCACGCCTAGGTACCACATCATTTTTTGTATTATCACTGCTACAATCGTGTCTTTACTGTTGGCATGATGTGTACTCTGGACTGTCCCGGGGCGACAGCAAAACGGTCGCGATTTAAGGCGTGACCAGCTTCGTATCACGAGTCAATCATCTGAAAGACATTGCGACAAAAGAGCAGACAACGCCAACGCAACACGCAGCAGCAGTGGGTCCTCCCGAAAATGCCGTTCCGTCTCCCAAAAACGATGGCATGACACACTCAAGCACGCGCACGTATCGTTTACGTGCTTGCTTCGTCGCACCCTCGCGTTCCTTCCGCTCTTCTCCCTCCACTCTCTACCCCTCCATTCTCCTGTCGCCCCCCCCCCGCCCCCCTCGCCCCCATCTCGATCTCTGCCCCTGACCCCCTCCCACTCACAACGCGATCATGGTTTGCGACACTCCGAGCGACAGCACCCAAGTGACAGCCTGCCCCGTGATGGACAATATGCCAGCCTTCTTCGCGTTGGATTTGAGGAGGGCGGGGTCCAGCTCCAGCCCGACGATAAACAAAAACCTATGATAGATACCGAAACAAGGCACACATGCATCTTGGTGATCCGGTACATTCTGGAAAATAAGGTGTGCTCACGAGTGCGTCTTCTCGGCAAAAGCAACCGCGCGCGAAGAAAAAGATGCGCGAATCGGTGGTGTACTCTGCGTGAGCCACTGAAGCAGTGTACCTTTTTGGTTTTAGGCAAGGACTGAAAGTTTTTCGATGGGAACCAGTCAATGAACTCAATGTCGGGCGCACGTCATGCATACGACCCTTTCGGCATAAGCAACGGTGTGAAATAAGCAAACAGTGCGAATCGGGGGTGTACTCGGTGTGAGAACCTTGTTATTTTGTTGTAAAGGACCAGAGTTGTTGATGAAACCAGTCAATCAACTCGACCACGGGCGCGACAAGAGATCCAACTCCCTCCCCCCCCTCGTGGTTGATTATGGGGAGTGCCGCTGCCGATTTCGTCATCAGAAAAACTGAAGATGCTTGCTTCGATTCAGTCGGATATCATTATGGTACTTGCGCATGCACACGCACAACGCGGCCTGGCAAATCCTAAAGATTTCTCACAGGATTAGCCCCAGGTGTGCCGTGAGAGTCAAGGCCTCCAGCGACTCGTCGGGGAACAGGGTGTTGGTGAACCCAGGGATAGCCCCGAACGCGCTTGGCCCGAGCAACACTCCTGCAATAACCTGCACGTACGTGGTCCAAGTATTGCAGGGTCAAAAAGCAGATGGTGGCGCAAATCCTTTCGTCAAATAACCTCAACATGAACAGCAGTGCCGGCCCGAAACACCGATTTGAGCGAGGCTCAAATCTTCTATGCATAAAGAGGAATTCATGTAGCGCCGGCCGCAATGCTCGGTTTCTTACGAGCACATATACATACGTATCATACGGAGTACTTCTTTACGAGCGGGCCGGCATTGCTGTATCCTAAGGTGCTAAGAGAAACTATTCAGACCAACATATCATAACTCCCCGAAAGTATTCGGAATAATTGCGTCAGGGAGGAGAACGTCCAACTAAGCAGCAACTGCTGTTGTGTAAACAGCTACATACCACTGTAGACCCGCTTCGAAGGTTCGCCGTACGTAAATAGACGCCGACACAAGTTGTACTCTATTCTACTTCTAGTAGTCGAAGAGTTGAAGTATGCATAGACTACAGCAGTAGCGGCACCGAAGAAGTCAAGAAGCGCGGCAAAGACTACCAGGCGCTCACCGGTATGCGTACTACGCTGTTGTTGGTTCCATGATATGAGTGGCCGTGTTTCACCGACAACGCTTTCATGGAAGGCGCGTGGTGGATTTTTTTTTTTATCTCCCATCATCCCCCCCCTCGGTGTTTGCCATCGGGGTTGGGTTTTCGTCGCTTGGCAACGACGTTGTAAAACAAGCCGCCCCCCCCGGTGTTTGCCATCGGG